GCATAAGTATGAGAGTGCATCTCATAACATCAGCAAATCGATATCTGCCACACCTTCGAACAAAAAAGATAAAAGATGTTATAATTATAAGGAGATTAAGGATTTCTACGAATTAATTGCTAAAACAGGTAACAAACACATTTGCGTTTGACTATGTTAGTAACTAAAGCATACTAAAACAGTTTATGCTAGTTGACCATGATTATGATAGTTGAGAAGAAATCAAATGCCATGTAATAAATAAATAATTAATGTGATAAATCGAGATAACAATGTCATCTATTATCCCATTGTGCGAAACTTATTTTGACTTATTATGACTTATTGATTGATATATTTGTATTAATTATATGATCTAATGAAATATTTATATTAATTCAGTAAAATAGTGCACATTTTATTCTCTATTTCTAAATTTCATTAATACTTTACGAAACCTTTACTCTGTTAAAATCTTTTTATTAATACATTTTGTTACTTGCTTGTATACATTCAAATATTAAAAATGTCATGCTATAGTATGTAGAGCATATTAAAAAAGTTATGTCATATAGGCCATACTGATAACTGGAGCGACGAAGATCACCTGTTGTTCTTAAAAATGAGAAAAAAGTGCAGTAGCATTCCTGCTCTAGTAACCGCCATCCGAGTCAAATGTCCAGATTTAACAGCAGAAACCATAGTGAACCATGAGGCTTGGTACAAGATTTATCTGAATTTACGTGAAAAGCAACGGTCAAGCGTTAAAGAGTGGCGCAAACAAAAAGAAATGGAGAAGATGAAGATGAAAAATCACGAGGAAACCGAAACTGAAATTTTAGAACAAATATCGCAAGAGAAACGAAATTTTAATATCACAGAAGAGCTTTCAACGTGCATGACGAATAAATACGGTAATACAAAGAAAATTAACAATTTCGTCGAGATTAATAATAAAAAAAAAGAATTAATCAGACAGTGGAAAGAGGAGAAAGAAAATAAGCGTTTAATAGACGAGGAGCAATCGAGGATTCTGATGAAAGCAAAACTTGCCGCGCAAGAAAAACGTAACAGAGAAAGACTGAAAAGTCTTTGGGAAGTTTTAGCAAAGCATCGTGAAAGAAAATCAATAGAAGTTTCTCCCGAAACTTCAAAAGCTGATTCAAGAGCGAAATCAAAGTACAATCCAATGTTGATTAAAGCTTTTAGGTAGCATCATCTATTTTTAATGAAAAAAATTAAATGAATGAAAAAATTAAAACACTAATATACTAAATAATAAAATAGTAATATGAGACTCTTGGCTAATTTTTATTTGCAAATCTTTCTAATCCTAATAAAATATTTTAATTGCAAATAATTACAACTGAGACTTAGAAAATTGCAAATCGAATGAAAAAAGGAAAGGTTAGAAAAAATCAGATTGACATACTCACTTTCAAGTACAATATCAATAATTACAAAAATAAAATTATATAAATAATTTAATGCAATATTATATAAACGTTTCGACTCTTCAACGAAGTCATTTCTCAATGCTTAAATCATAATTAAAATTTCAATCATGAAAACAAAAAATTGAAGACACAGTTATGTCGAAAATAGGCACATTAAAAAATTCTTATTTGCGTATTATTTCTTTTGCAATATCTGTGTTTTTCACATTTGCATCAGAACTTACATTATCGTTTCTGACGTGAGTCGTACATATTGTAACTTTAAATCTCTGCCTGACTCAGAATTTTATATTTTGTATATTTTGACTTCTACACTATCTTTATAAACAAACTTAACGACGCATTTACAAGTGATGGGATCACGAATATATTCCTCAATTTCTTTGTCCTTACAGTTCTTATAGTCAGCATGTTAATTTGGTCCTTTTTCCTTATTCGATTTTTAAATATTTTAATAATTCAACAAGTTACTAATCTTTAATAATCCTAATATCTTAGTAAAATGTAACTTATTATGTAGCATTGTTATGTATATGTGCTAAATCTTAGATATAACTATAAAATTGTAATTTTCAATAACAGAAAGCAAGATGCAGAATATACAAAAAAAAGAAAGATTTAATAACAAGACGGAAGTTGGCTAAAAATCAAATAATAAAAATTGTAAGCTCACAAATAGTAAAAAAGCGAGATCACTCGACTCTATTGAATTCGACTGAGGTATGGAGAGAAAAATGCAGAATACGCGATTCTAACCCGAAAGAACCGAAAAAACTGCAATATATTAAGGATGTTCCTCGTTTGTACGTTTCTTAAGAAAAAAAATAATTTTTATGTATTCTATATATGTCTAAATATTTGATTTTTTTAGATGTGTCCAATGGAGAAATAAGGAATCGATAGAAATCAAGGACGTTTTGACAATTTCTTGAAGTCGAAAAATCTCTTCAACAAAAATTTATCTATATAGGTTGACGAAGAAGGAAATAAAAATGCAGACAACATTGATATATACTTGTGTTTATTTTTCTTTACGAACGTACCTTTTTGTTTCTTTCAGACAGATGAACATAATAAGTTATGAGTAAACGAGTGTTGAATTTATCCAAAACCACCATTTCGCACGTATTCGGTTTTACAATTACATTTACCGCAGCTGTATATATGTATATTTGTTTCGTCATATATATATATAATTTTTATTTTATATTCATGGACATGGAAAAAAGGAATAAAAGAAAAAGAGAAATGAAAAAGATTATCATCATCGACGTCGTCTTGGATAACTTCAACTCTCAACGGCTTTTTACTCAAATATATATAATATACTTTCTATCAATCTTTTTCTGTTCGTTAATTCGAGATATTCTTCGTTTAGATTACCAAATACAAAAACACATAGGTGATATAATATATATATATAT